GGAAAAAAAAAGAAAGTAAAACGTCACCCACATTCACGTGTGTGCTGTGTACCCGATCTGATGCTGGTATATAATATTATATATCATACGTAGTATAGTATCATATGGAGCTACTTGTCAACGGGCGCGAAATATTATATACATCATCATCATAATGTATCACGACGTGAGGCGAAAACGAAAATAGTTTCACTGAAAATGGCGAATATTTTGACCGACGGCGTATAACTGAGACAGTTTTCGACAAATCATATTTATCTAAACGGTTCACTATAATATAGTTGCGAGTATATTTTATATATAATATATAATGTATTATCATGACTTGATCTACGCCGCCTGCAATATTTCGATAATGTTTGATATATATATATATATATAAAAAATAAATAAAATTATATTTCCGCTTCGAAGTCTCTCCGATTCGATTAAAAACTCTTTTATTGAACGAGTTCCGCGAAAATACGTCCATGATTTTAATTGCATACCTTGATATGTTATTTGATTTTACGTAGATTTTATTTTGCGTAGAGAAAAATATACCGTTTGAAAGAAGCTGCGAAGTCTTGGTTCAACCATATACCCCATATGTATTATTTTATGTTTGTCTACGTGTATGTGTGTAAAAAAAGTTTTGAAAAAATTCCGATTTTAATTAAAACGGCTTCATTTTCCATCGAGAGAGTAGAGCTCCTCTAATTCTACTCACCATATAATTCCCTCATGAGCGAAGTCCTCGGAGAGAGGTGGCGAACTGTCGAGCCGTCTACCATTCATATTATATATTATGTATTATTATTATTATATATTTATATATAGGTAACGCATAATAATATCATGTTATTTTGTGCGTATGACACGGTATTATTATACTTTATCTGCTTCTGTAGTTTTGATAACCTCACGGCCACGTCTAGAACACTCTTTAAAATTTAAATGTGTGCGATATGTACACGCGCAGTATAATAATAACAATAATATAGAAATGTGCAATTACTTTACACAAATACAATAATACGTATCTACACGAATAATAGATGCCTGCATTGGATAGAAACGTGTCATAATATATCTCGTTTATACTTTGCGGGAAAAGATTTTGATAGCTTAAAACATATTTATTTTTTTATTTTTTGGTATTTTATTCGTAGCTATACGCATGAACGTCATTAATTTAATATTGCACACAGAAATGTAGTAAAAAATTACTTGTCCCGTTAAGCTCCTGTCAACCACAAGTATTATATTTATGTGCGATATACATCCAGCTCGCTTGTTTTTTCGACTTTCTATCCCGGTCGCTGCCAACTCGTTAAAATTCAATTTTACTGAATTTGACGCTTCAGACGACGATAATATGTGCCCGATAATCCCATTTATTTATCATATATTCGTATAATATATATTACTTACCTATATTATTGGTATCAGGCAAAATTTAATCATCTCCTTTACTCTTTTCAAGAATCACGTTTTTCGTTTAGGTATTATCATCAATTCTATCGTATACGATAACTCATTATTATAATTTTTTTTCTATTAATACACTAGGTTATTCTTTTATCAAAAAACACTCATTATTTTAAAGTCAATTGATATTTTTCACATAATTTTCAATCGAAATAAAATAATTTTTTTTAAAACATATTTTTTATATTTTTATGTTTTAAGTTTTTTTTTGTTTTTTTTTTTTTATGATTAAAACACATTTTTAATTTAATATTCTGAAGCAGAATATTTTTTAATGTGATTAAAACCGAAATTCATACGAGTATTATTTGAGTTTTAAGTATTAAAATGTTTGTGAGTGGAATTCAGTGGTATTGGGACACATCGGAAAATGTTGGGTTTTTATTCCACTCAAATAAGCTTTTAACACTTATAAATCATAAAATACTCGTCGAAAATTTCGATTTTTATCGAATATTTCTAAATAATATTTTACTTCAAAATATGAAATTAAAAATCGATGCTGTTATTAAAAAAAATAAAAACTTTTAAAAAAAATATTTTTTTTTTTTAAATGTTATTATATTTCAACTGGAGATTATATACATAAAACAATGATTTAAAAAACTATAATAGATTTTGAAATAATGAATATTTTTCATCAAAAGAATCTTACTGTATATATTTATATTTTATATATGCGTGATATGTGTAATGTGTATGCCCCGTCAAAATATGTATAGACAATTCCGACGACGATTATTATAATAATAATAATAATAATATATTAACGACTGGCGCATTATTAACGAAATTCGAATAAAATTCCCATTGGCGTTCACCCGGTGTTATGATTATAAAATAATATTATTTAGGGTCTGTGCACAATCAATATTTATTTAAAAACAACGGTTTGGGTTCGGTTCGATGCCCGAAAGGCTTCCTGCAATATTGCGGGTAGAACAGCGACGGATATGCCGAGTATAATATATTATAATACACACTGCGTGTGTGTGTGTGTGAGTGTTTGTTGATCTCCTAAAATTGTTTATACTGTCGTAATATGCGGATATTACAATAACACGACTCCAGTAGTGTGGTGTGGTTAGCAAGCTTCTTTTACGGGGAAACGTAAACAAACATTCATGTCGTTAGTGGGTAAAATATATTATACAAAGGATAAACCTGCTCGGCAACGATCGCTCGTCTGACGAACGAACGATAACCGAAAAAAATAACATATAAATATATATTATACATCCTCCTCAACTTTTGTCGGGGGACGACTCGCACGATAAGCTCTTATCGGACGGGCGCGGACAAAGTTTTCGGTTTCCCTCCCCTCTCTCACTCTCTGACCCGTAAACATGCGTTACTATGCCGATTTATTCTGAAAATTTGTTCGGCCAAACTTTTCCTATAAAAAACTGTCAAATTCAACAGACGGGTTAAGTGCACGCTTTTGTTTCCGCGTGCCCACACTCTGTCCGTGCATATTATATTGTTTTTGGCGCGACTGTTTTTTTTTATCCTCCACGAGTTTTATTTACCGCTCCGCCGCCGACATTTAAATGTAAATGCGTTTTAGATTTAACACGTCACGGGATATAAATGCATGTCGCGCGTGCGTGTGTTCACGCATCTATCTCGCGAACGTTTGACAATGAAATCCTGGTGTATAATATTTATACGTATGTTTTTTTTTTCATTTAACCAATATCGGGTGAGTGATTTTTTTCGCCTTATCGGGGCAGAAAATTAATAACTATAATCCCTTCCTATGCCGTTCCGTCAATGCGACGGCCCTGTTGACGACGGAGAGATTCGATTATTATATTATACATATTATCGGAACGCCCGAACGGTGTTCGACGTTGTACCCTGCACTAGAACGGTTACGAGTAATATATAATAATAATAATAATAATAAAATATATGTATACGCCCGAACATAAATATTTTCAATATAATTGGATATGCGTAAGCCTGCTTTTGAAAAGTCACAATAATGGTATCGGGATCGGGACATCATCGTTTAAATAATAATACAAAAAAATATTATCGTGCGGTTCAAGCGATCATTTTAATATATAATTTGTATATACGAATGATATAATATATACTTTGATACAGTTATTTCATGTAAACATTAACCAGGTATGGCATATTCACTATCCGACGTATAGTAACTAATAAACTCTGCTTTTCTGTGTTTTCACTTACTATAATAAATATCTATATTATGTTAAATATTTGTATTATAAAGCTATATTATTATGCCGATCCGAAAAAAAAATGTCAATGTGTTAAATAGTTTTTTTCATAAGCTTCGTCATTAGTTTATTCGTCTGAACACAACTGGTTGAGGGCAAAATAATATATAATAAATAATTATTATTTATTAGTATTACGAAAATAAATTATTAATCGTATACATTGTTTACACACAGATTCAACGCAAAAGTGTATAAACGATATTATTTATTTTTATTATGCACCCTACCTATTGGAATGTAGAAGAGAGAAAACCTCAATTTCCGGCAATATAATAATATTATACAGTTACCGATTTTACCGGACTACGGGCAGATTACCAGGTAAAAAATAATGCATAAATCACATATTATATGTATTTGTGTTAGAGCACAAATAGTGATACAGCTAAAAATCCTTTCTACCAGTTGTACCTGCTGGTTCACACAACGTCACCGGAAACTAAGTGTCCAAAAAATAACTAACATTAATATTATAGTGTAGATTGTGTGCGCAAATAGTTATCATAGTTATACAGGAAAGGTACCAATTAAACATGTATTGGGGACGATTTCTACCATCGGTAAACGCGCTCCAATCTTTTGTAAGCGAGTAAATTACGTGTGTATGAATCACGTAGATATATCGTACCCGACTCTTGTATAGGTGCATACTTTGGCAACCCGCGGTAAAATAATAATTTTATATTATTATACCGACCCTATAATATTATAAAGGTGGTCGTAGTATTATTTTTTTTCGTGCGAGTGCATGCATTCCGTGCAATTCTGCACGCGTCGGAGTATTATACGTCAACTACCCCACCCAACTGCACGACCAGTACATCATTTCGGACCCGATTTACCATGCTTGCATACAAATACACGTCATATTATTATTATAGTTCGCAATTGTATACAGGAGTTAACCTTCTGTCTTATATTCTTCTTTGCGTGTGACCCGACCACTATTACAGAGTATTGCATACGTAATACTACGATGCGGCAATTAAAAGTTTTCCCAACTGTTAAAATGTAAAACAAATGGCATACGTCTTTCCGCAGGCGTTTGGCATACGCGCGATTCGTACATTCGACGATTATATTACAATAATAATACCATATTGCAATGGCGTGTTCGTGATAAATACGATAATAAAAATAATATCTATTATTATTTATATTTAATTTAATGTACCTATATAAATATATATATGTATATTGTACGAGACTTTTTCGGTTTAATCGATTCGTTTTCAACATACGTGTCTACAGAGAAAGAAAAATCAATACACCTACCTTGGAAGAAAACAAATGTCTTTCTCTTGACGTATGGGGTATCCGGAATTTTGAGTTCGCAGTCCAAAGTGGATTGAGTGGTTATGTCGTCGTCAGAGATCAAGACGCTTATGATTACTTCGTAGGAAGTGTCCTTCAAGCGGTTGATATCGACGCGGGAATGAACCAACGGGTAGCTTCTGTAAAGAAAAAAAATATACAAATAAAAATGAGTTTGGCACTAATTAATCACAAAACTAATTATAATGCTTGTTTCGTGTTAAGTAGACGTTTTTATCATATATTTAATGTCCTATAAAATGTTAGATAATATATTGTACAGTGCATCTCGATTGAGATGTAAAATATATTTTTTAATACTTATGCTTAGTTGTTCAGCTTAAAATTTATCGTGAAAAATCGATGGAAATTTTAAAATTTTAATCACCATAACCATAAAGAAAGCTTTTGTGTTGCAAAATTATTGTAAACACTATTATAAATCTGATGAATGAGTTAATTAAAACAAACTCAATATAATTTAAGTACGATGAATAATGATTGTTATAAGTATTGCATATACTTTTCAATGTTAAATTATATTTTTTCGACAAAAATCCCAACAGTTTATAGTTACTTATTTCATTCTAGGTTAATTAAAATATTATTTAGTCGATAAAGATATAGGTAGATGTAATATGGTATATACTTATATTCCATCTTTATGCGTTTTATTTACTTTAACCGGATTTTATTGTAATTATTGAAATATACATTAACTGTAAAACAGATCTTTATTAGAATTTCATCCAATCAACGCCAATAGTATCATATTTTATAATTGAAATAAAAAATCATAATATTAATGTTATAATGTAAATATAGATTAAACTACAACGGTAGTATAATTTAACTATATTACATAGGTATATATATATAAATATAACATCGTTTGACCGTAATTTTTCTCTCATAAATGTAAAACAAATCATAATATTTTAAGAAACGCGTATTAATGCAGGGTTAAAAAAAGGGAAAATAGTTGTCGAAGAAAGCGTATACTTAGGTCGTCTGTCATAGATATAAGTATTTAATAACTGCCAGAAGTTTGATACAGTCAAGCCACATCTAACAATATCTTGGAAGTCAGTATGGTAACAAAAGCGCAATATTACGCATAGCAGGCATAACAATAATAATATACGAGTATTATGTATTTGACCGTCATCTGTTGGAGGGATTTGTCTATCAAAATCCAAACCATTCCGATATTGTATACTTTTTCGTTATCTGTACGATTGTTGCTGTTCTCAAACTCGCAAAGCAAAATAATTCTGTTTTTCGTCTGAGCAATATACCCGGAAATGTTGGTTTTCTACTGTAAAAGTTACGTTAAAAACGTATCCTGGCCACTGACGTTCAAGATAAATGTGTTCCGGTCTGGTCTATTATCGTGTAGAAATTGACTTGGTGAATTTCTCAACGATCATTGCACACTCTGAACTATATATTATTATATACACAGTGAAGCAACTTTATTTTACTTTATTACAAAATACAAATATCATTGGTCATAATAACATTATATACTTTAAATTACATATATATATATATATATATATATATGTATATAGCCATATAAGTTTCTATTATTTTCTACGCAATCCGCGATATATTATGGACGAGACTACTTGAAAATAGTTATTGGAAATAAATTAAAGGAGAGTTTTGAAATTTGTAAATTATAGGTATTCAATAATTAATTATGTAAGACGTATTTCAAAAACTTAACATGTTAGGTCTAATATTACATAATATTAAATTTTTAGTATTTAAAAAAATATACAAAAACTTTATCTTTTTATAAATCAGTTTTAATTCGTTAAAACTAATATAATAATATTCTTCAAACTATAATTAACAATAAAAACACTCTATCTAGTTACTAAGCATACGTACGTATATTTGTAGTTAATTAGTTAGACCATGACTTTAAATATTAAACAAAAAAATATATATTATAATGTAAATTAAAATGTTATTTGATATTATGATTTAAATTTAACATTAAAATCGTAATAATATATAAGTTAAATTAATACAAAAGAATATAAAAGATCGCTGTGAATATTAAGTTAATTATGGTTATCTATTGAACTATAAATAATTAATGGGTTGTTTTATATATTGTTATTATTTTTTGAAATGCACAAAAATAAAAATGTAATGATAATTATTGTTATTATTATTATATTTTTAGAAAACTATCGATAAAACTTAACTTAGATTTCTATAGCATTTTATCGATTCTCGTTGTATATTTAATTAAGTCCAAGGGTATTTTGAAGGAAAGTTAGAAAAAAATGTACTGTAAATAGGTATAATCAATAGTTGTTATTTCGATAGATAATAATATATTTTAGGGAAATTAGAAAATTGACAAATCAATTAGGTAATATATATTTTAAATGTATGCACATGAAGAATATATCCACAAAGTATGGTTATCTAAATGAAAATTAAATTAATAATAGATAATTATATTAAAAACAGTAATTTGTCTATATAGGTAATTAAAAAATAATCAAATTAAATTTGAACAATATTTAATATTCTGTTTTAAATATAGTACTACATTATTAAAAAACAAACAAAATAAAGTATCTATCACACCAACTAATGCAAATCAAACATTATCATTGTACTCTATTCAAAGTTAAATATAGTAGCTGTAATAAATACAACAAAAAAAAAAAAAAATAAAAAAAAAACTGTGTAATACAATATAATCGTGATTAAATTGTACGTATTTAAATAATTGTGTTAATTCTATTTAGATTCATTTAGTCAATAGAAACGTAAAAATAATATTCTAGATAAGTAATTACTATAGTAAATAAAAAAAAAAAAAAATGAAAAAAAATGGAAGAAGAGTAATATTGTTGAGGTGCTGACAAAAGAAATATAATAATAAGTGGGTCATCCATGCAGATCAGTCACATAGTAAAAAAATCAAGTAAATAGTTATGAAAATTATATTTAAAAGTGTATCTATAAAATGGTTGAACAACTATATAACGAAAAATTCAAAACATCATGAATTAAAGTTAAAAATTGAAAGTATATGGAATCGTACGTCTACAACTATCATTAGTATAATAAATAATATATAATTACGATATTAACTATAAATTAATTTAAACAATTTAAATATTTTCTGAGTGGCATTATTATCAATCCTTGCTATTTTAAACAACATTTTACTATTTTGTTTTACCAAAAATCTGTAATTAAAGGCGATGACATTTTTATATAAAATTCACTTAATTGGGTAAATTTCCTATATTAGCTATGCTAATCTTAAAATTGTAGTTAAAAATGTCCAAATTTCTCTCTTAAGTAAATCTTAAATTATTTATACAAACAAATATTAAATTTATAAAATGAACAAAATCACATGATATTTAAGTTTGAATATTGTGACAAAGTTGTTTAGAAATAAAATTAACTCTGTCAGTCTTCTTTGTGTATTGTATAACTTGTCGAACTTGTGTAAAACTTTGTACCACGTAATTTCTTAAGAATTTTAGTAAATATAATTTTATAAAATCTCTTAACTTTTAGAGACTTTACAATTATATTTTACATAAATTATTATCCAGTCCATTTTTGTAACAAAAGTCAATATATTGAAATGGAAATTATAAAAACGTAATTTTTTAGCATTGAAAAGTAAGATAAAATTATAAATTGATTGAGTCACCCATTTACTCTTCGAGAATATTTGTATAATATACTATTTTAACAGCCACATTTTATCCTTCAATTATTAAAATATCTAAAAAAAACTCGTGAAATTATTGTATGTGCATTAAACTTAAATTTTTTTTTAAATCTGAAAGGTAAAAAACGTGAAAGATAGCCACTGGTGAATAGTTATCAAAAAAGAATAATGGATGAAAAAAGTTGTACTAAAAAACGTAAGCACAAATGAGAACAACGAGAATCCGAAAATATCTTTAGAAATAATATTTTTTATAGATCTTTCAAATAAAATGAGAATTTAATACTTTTTAGGATAACTATAGAACATTGATGGAAAAACGATATTTCTCGTTTGATACTTTAAGATAAGTAAATAAAAAAAAATATCGATATTGTAATATTTTATTAATCTGGATGCAGTAGGAATAATAATAGTTAAGATATTAAAATATCGTGTTTTTCATGTTTTTGTTTTTAATCATTTTTAAATTAATACATTTACTTACAATAGACAAAATCATAAACATCATCAGCACTTGAATATCGGATTTTTATTTAAATATAAAATTTTAAATAATCTTATATATTATTATGTTACGTATCACTTAAATTGTTCTATTTTAAATAGGTACTAGTATTTAGACTATTATTTATAATGTACATCGGTTTAATACTATCAGCTATAATAATGATCATAATACGGCTTGGAGATGATTGAATTTCATGGATTTCTACAGTGTATAGAAATATATTTATTTAATATTTTTATGAACCAAAAATATAATACACATTGTATATTATATATAAAACTCCATTAATTTTGGAGTGAACAGTATAAAAAAAAAAAAAAAAAACGGTAAATTTTACGGTCTAAATAAATAACACGATTTAGTCCCATTCAAAATCTTTTTTTAAATGTGATGATTAATAGCTATATGTTACAAAAGACAAAATACCGCTAACACACCCGCCTGCGTGGATTTTCTAAAACGGGAACTCCCCAGGGTATTAATTCTGGCCAAAAGACTAGCATCGAGTGTCAAAGCATCATAACATATAACAATATAACTATCGAAGCATAGAACACATTTGTTTCATACAAATATGTGTAATTTTTTTTTCAGCTTAGTTTGCTATCTGCCATTATGTTAAAATGTAGAAATTTCATTTTAAACTATAATACTTTCTATTATAATTTTGATTTAATTGGTACTCAAGTGGGCTAAAATTTAATGAATATCCTATAGGAATTTATAAATTCACAACAAACTCGTTAAATATCTTGATATTTTGATTTTGTTTTTAAATTATATGCATATAATTAAAAAAAAAATGACAGGCCATGCTTGTTAGATGAAAAGATAACGTTGTGGTGTAAAATTAAATAATTACATACATGAAAAAATAATAATTACACACTGTTTTGTGCAGCTAA